CCATCTCAAAAAAAAAAAAAAAAAAAGAAGAAGAAGAGAGAGAGAGACATAAACAAACATGATTCCTTCATAATTACGTTTGGTTTCTGGACTGTGTTTCTTTCAATGGGACACTATGGTGATACTGGGCCATGTGGAGCCCCAAGCATTATTTGGGTTACACCCAGGTATGTTTAGCTGCCTATTTGCCAAAATATTTTGCCAAATAGCAGTTTGGCAAAGATTTCTCCCAGAGGGTCCCTGTCTTCCTAGGCCACAGTCATGGGTTACAACCCATCCAGTCACCCTCTTGCCTTCTCCTTTCTGTCACTGTGTCTCAAAGGGGACTGGGTGGCTCTGCTCCCAATCTGTAGCAGTCCACTCGCTAGAGGCTTTGCTTGTTGCCTCCACAACCCCAGTCCCTGTTGTCCCTGGCCCAGGTTAGCTCCCCTCACCTGCACTGAATTTTCACGACGGTTGCTGGCTACATCCCCAGGGTTGTCTTTGGCCAAGGCAGTCAGGATATAGTGGTCCTTCTTCTCCCGGTCCAGAGAAGACAGCACATAGATGTCACCCTAGTAGGGAGAGGGTGGCTTTAGGTCCTTCAATCATTCAAAAGATATTTATTGAGCACCTAGTATGGCCAGATGCTGTTATGGGGTCTGGAGATTTGACACTGAACAAAAGAGACAATAACTCCTGCCCCCAGGAAGCTCCCATTCTAGCGGCTCTTCTTGCTCTCACTACCCCAGCCTACCTGGGGATGGGGTGACCAGCCCAGCCTGCAGCTCCCTGCCTGACCAGGAAATAGCATATAGTAGGTACCCCATAAATGTTCAATTGTCTTAATGCCAGGCCTGGAGCCATGTCTGATGGCTCATACCAAGCAGGAAGGAGTGAACACTGCTGAAAGGGCAGAGTGCCAGACGATGTAGGCAGAGCAGGGCAGTGGAAGGGAAAGTCCAGTTCCAGCCCCAGCAACTGGGGAAGGCCCTGCCTGACTAACGAGCCCTAGGCCACAGGGCTCTCTCTCTATACTGAAAATAACAGCTTTGAACCAATTAGCAGACATTTGAAATCACCACCCATCTTTTCCCCTGAATTTCGGCTCTTCCACAGGTCTGAGATTCAAGGAAGCATGTGGGAGGCACCCTTTGGGGCATCCTCCCTTCCCCAGCACTGAGTATAGGGCCATGTATACAGTAGGTGCTCAGACACTGTGCCCACTTTCTGCAGTGCTTCCCATGCCTCTTTTCTGACTATCTCAAAAAGTAGCCCCATGGACTTCAATCATGCATTTTTAGTGTGCAGAGGACACATCTCAGAAGTCCCACAAAGAGCTCATTCCAAAAGACTTGGCCACTTCCTTCAACATCTGTTGGGACAGAAAGGCTGCAGTCTGACAAATGTCTGGGACTCTGAGAACAGGGTTTGCTGACTTGGCTAAAGAACCTCTGGGGCTGCAGATGTCCAGGTGACAAGACCCAGAGGGATCACTGCAATACTTTTGGTGGCTGTTCAGTCTCTGACCCTGGGCCCTTCCCACTTCTAGATTCCAGGCCCTTCATCACTGCTCACCGTGGTGGGGTTGATGGCAAACTTGCCCTCTCCATCTCCAAGGCTGTACTCAATGAGTGCAAAGTTGCCTGAGTCAGCATCAGTGGCAGTGACTGTCAGGATGACTGTGCCCACAGGCACATCCTCAAAGACCGCCTCCTGGAGCTCAGTGGGCAGGGAGAGAGAGTAGGCCAAGGTCAGTCCCAGAGCCCGAGCACAGCCCTAGAACTCACTGATGCAGGCATCAAGCTGCTCATGGGCTAAGCACTCCCAGGGGGGTTAGAGACTGGCAGGGTGGGAGAGGAAGACGCCCAAAGGCCCCAAGATATTGCCACAGGTCCTGGACCCAGCCTGTGGCCTGGCCACTCACCTGGTAGGAGGGCTGGTCAAAGATGGGGTTGTTGTCATTGATGTCTACGATCTCCAGGTAGACAGGGATCTCAGCTGCCCGGGGTGGGGACCCGTTGTCTGAGGCCCTCACAGTAAAGTTGAGCCAGTGCACCTCCTCGTAGTCCACTGTCCGGTTGGCAATGACCTTCCCTAAGACACAGAGGCTCCCATGGTCATTTTGGCCATGGTTCATTCGTGGCAGCTCTCCAAAGTATGAGGGGAAGGACCTGGACTCCGAGGGGCAGGTGTGGTCACTTGAAGGAGGGTGGTTGGGCAGCACTGCCCAGCGGCAGGGCACACAGCAAGGAGGGACTAGTGTCCAGTTTTTCTTATGGAGGGTGAAAAAGCTTCTCCCAGTCACAGGGATGAACATCAACTAGCCCAGGACCGGAGACACCTCCTTCTTGGCCTTCCTGCTCCCTCAGTGGTACTAATAGTAGGAGCTTGGCTGGTGGGATATCCCAGGTTTCTGGCAGACATCAAGAGGCTTCCATCCCAACCCAGGAGTAAGCACTCTGTCTCTTCCCCTGGTTTGGGCATCTGGAATCTGGCATGGAATGTCAGCCATCTTGGATCTGGCCCAGTCCACTGAGGGGCCACGGAGAGGCTATGGTCCCTCCTGGGGGCTAAGCAAGTACAGATATATGTCCCCCAGCCCTCCTCTGACAGATTTCTGACCTACCTGCCGAGGAGTCCTCCAGCTGGACGTAGCCTGGGGGCACCAGGTCCAGCAGGGTGTAGGTGACCAGCCCATTGAGGCCCTTGTCAGGGTCCACAGCTGCCACAGCAATGAGTGTTGTCCCGGGGGTGGCCCCCTCCAGGATCCGCTCCGTGTAGTAGGTGATCCCAAAGGGCTTGAACTGGGGCGTATTGTCATTGACGTCCAGGACGTTGACAGTCAGCTTGGCTGGGGTGGAGGCCGTGAGTGAGGGAGAGGGGAAGGACACCAGTGTGGCTGGACCAGGCCTTCTTTAGCCTCAACCAAGCTGGGAGAGCATGGCAGCATCCCACAGCCCCCCGGAGGCCCCCTGAGGATTGACCTGACCCTCAGGCTGCAGGACAGGAGCCTTTCCAGTGGTCTGCTAACTTGCTGTTCCATAAGAGGAAGGGCTAGGTGACCCTGGTGGAGCCCTTGGCTCTTTCTGTGCCCTGGTTTCCTAACCTGCTTAATGAGGTAGGGTAAGATAATCTTTAAGATCCTAGATCCTGTCTGAGCTGTCCCCTCTATGTAACCGGCCTGGGCCCTTAACCATCTGAGCCTCTGACACGGAAGAGATGACCAAGTCTACCCTTCCTTCCGAAAAATGTGGCCTTCTGGGCTGTGAAGATAAGCAGTCAACATCTGCCAGGCCTGGCTTCCCCCACAGCAGCTGTCTCTGCCTCATGTCCGAGGCAACTTGAGGCCACCCCATCCCACTTCCCCCTCTCAACTCTCGCTCTGCCCACACAAAATCCACCCCTCTGCCTCCCCCTCCCAGCCCACGCCTCAAGGCTGCAGGCAGGGTGGCTTGGGCCTGACTGGCAGAAGGTAACACTGGGCCCCTCCATTCTCCACTGTAAGTGCCTGCATCCTCAAAGCAGTGTCTGTGGCCTAAGATCACCTCCCCTGGCTCTTTGCTTCCTCTGTGCTAACCCTGTGGTTTCCTATAAGATCATGGGTTTCCCATCTCACATCCTAGCCACACCCTGATTACCAGTTCTGCTGGCTGAACCTAAGCCTCTGTCAAACCATTTTTTCTCAATCCTTTCCAGTCTCTACCAAGCCTCCTTCCTACTCTGAGCCTGGGGGTTCAGATCACACACAATTCTGAGCTTCTGGATCCTCCACTGCTGAGCTCTATGTAGCTATCACCACCCTGGGCCTCACAGTGGCTGCCATCTTCCATGCCTCTTGTGTTGCCTGACTCCTGGCTCCTGGAGCAACTGGGTCTTGTTGCTCCCTCCGTGGGGACAGACCAGTGCCTATTCCCCACCTGCCCCCTGCCCTGATTGGTTCTGAGTGGCCAATGAGAGATGTCTGCAGGGAACCTTACCATTTGGCACACTGACAGAGCGCTCTGGTAGGTCGCTGGCATTGTCAATCACTGAGAGAGTGACCTCATAGGTGGCAACCAGCTCCCGGTTCAGGGGGGACTTCACCATTACAGATCCTGTGGACCAGACCAGGCCAGGTTCAGCCTGAGAAGAACCCCCTAAAATCTGCCCTTCCCAGGGGTACTCCTGGCCAAACCCTCCCACTCCTCACAGAGGATGATGGTCCCCAGTGGATTCTGGGACTTGTGGCTGGGGTGGGCCCACAGACTCCTCATAAGCTGAGGGCACGTGGTTCTGCCCCTCCTATGATGCTTACTAGCCAGGTGATGTTGGGGAAGTTATGTCACCTCTCTGCACCTCTCTGTCATTTGTAAAACAAGATAATTACACTACTGACTGTCAACCCATCCTTTTCTCAATCCCCTACTATTTTGAGGATTAGAAAAACAAAATGAGCTTCCATTTCTAAAGACTTAGAACAGTACCTGGCACACAGAAGCTATGTAATTGCTTGTTTAAAAACTGCTGTATTGCCTAACAATGCAAATGTACTTAACACTACTGGACTCTACACTTAAAAAGTGGCTAAAGTGGTAAATTTCGTTATGTGTATTTTATCACAATTTAAAAAATGCTTAGATTCTAGGGAGATCACGTTTAAAAGAAAGTCATGGTAGCTGAAAAGCCCTGAGGGGTTCCCTGGAGGGGACAGTGGTGGAACCATCTGGATACTTCAGGTCCATCCCTTTGTCTTGATTAAATAGGGAGTGACATGGACTGATTGTGGGACAGGAGCATTGGTTCCATGGCAGTCCTAGCAAGGGGTTTCCTTCTGTTCTATGCACTGCCTCCCAGAGTCCCTGCCTGCTCCCCAAATCAGAGAGGAACCCCCCAGAAGCATGGACTGGGACTGGACAGACCTAGCTTGGCTGACCTCAGTGCTGGCTTTCTTGGGACCTTTCTTGTTCCTGACTGTTAGAGGGCCTGGTGGCTTCTCCTCCCACTGGCTTCATCCCAGAGTGAGACTTCCTCTCCCTCTCAGGTACAGGGGTCTCTGAGATTCCCTTCCCCCTTGGCAGATCCCCCTGCTGGGCTTCTGTCCTCCGTGGGTCCCCAGCCATGGGGTAGTCACTTACCCTGGGCCGCCTCCTCCTCCTCCTCCTCTTCCTACTCTCGCTCCCTGTCCCCCAGGCTGGGGAGCGAGGATGGGGAGAGGGCGGCTGCATTCAGTCTGCAAAGGCTGGGCCACGGCCTTGGCCCGGGCCCCACAGGACAGGAAGGGTGATGGGGGTGTGGTGGGCATGGAGGAAGGCAGTGGGGTGAGGCAGAGAAGAGATGAGGTGGGAAGTGACAGAGAAACAGAGCTCAAACCTGTGGGCCTGCCAGCCGTGAGGAAGAGAGAAGAGGGTTAACATCAGTTAGTTCAGGGTGCAGCGGGGATGGAGCAGAGCAGGGCAGGGAGGACGGTGGCAGAACTGATGGGGTGGGGGGAGGGAGGGGTGGAAACAGGGAGTGGGGAGGGGAAGAGACACTGGGAAGGAAACCAGGGGAGCAAGCGGAAGCCCATTTGGAGTGGAGAGCTCAGGGGCTGAGGCTCTGGCAAGAAGGAAAGGGAGCAAAGTGGGCAAGGGAGGAGTGGGGGGCTGAGGAGGAGGGGGCAGAGAAGACACTGGAAAGAAAAATAGAGAAGAGAGTCAGTTGGAGGAAGGGGGAACAGGAAAGAGAAAAGCAGTAGGGCATTGAGCAGAGAGCCTCAAGTTGAGCAGGGATGTGGAGCAGCTCTCCATGGTCCTGACCAACCCATGCAGTCAGGAATTTTGCTAACCTGGGATGTAGCTGGTTCTATCTAACTTCTCCTAGTGCTCGTGTGTTTTTCTTCTTCTGTTTCCCTTTGGGCCTCAAAAGCAGATTGAGGTTATCCTGTTCTTTGGCTGGCTGCACACTATGACCACTGGCACCTCTCTTGTTTTGTGTGTATGTCTACTCCCTTTCATCCCCATACTCCGCTCTCCTTTCCTTCTCCCTTCAGGCAGTCATTGTCATGCATTGAAGTATATTTTTTGTTAATAAAAGTATTCCTGAAAATCATGTATTGTTTTGTATGTATTTTACATTTATGGAAATGGTGCAGTGACATATATCTCATCCCATTTCTTATCCTTTTCTAATAATACTTATTATTAAGATCCATCCACATTGCTTTGTTTGTGTCTAATTTATTGCTTCTCACTGCTGGCACTGCTGGCTGGTAAACCCATGATGTGCACCCACGATATTTTACTCTTCAGTCTCCCAGAAATGGACACCTGCATGGCCCCAACTCCACCATCACCAATAATACTGCAGTGAGCATCCTCAGACAGTTTCATTAATGCCCTGAGACTTTCTCTGGAACATATACTGGGTAATGATGGTACAAGTGTACCTTATGCTGGATTGCTATCTGGACAGTGGAATCAGTCACAACTCCTACAGCGGTGCATGAGGGTTTCAATGTCCCCACACTGTCATCAATATCAACATTGTCCAGCATCCTAATGTCTGCTAATCACGTGTGAAAAACTGATACCTTACTGCTGTTTTAGTGCTCTGTCACAGCCATGTTGATTTTTCTATCACTCCTCTGGGCCTTCCAAGAGGTACACCAATCAGATCCATGTCCCTTTCCTAACTCCCCAAAGGAGAAAACACTGAACTTTGGGGAAAATGATAAAACCATCAGCATTACAATAAGCTGCATACATTGTGAAAGATAAGCCACGGTTCTGTTGGTTTCGTGACAGCATAAGAAAATCATTGATCTGCATGCAACTTGCAGAGGATTTAAATGGCCAGCATACATATGAAGAAAGTATTCAGCCACCTCGTTAGTAAAGAAATGCATGTTAAACAAGCTATCACGGCTGGGTGTAGTTACTCATGCCTGTAATCGCAGCACTTTGGGAGGCTGAGGCAGGTGGATCATCTGAGGTCAGCATGATCAAGACCAGCCTGGCCAACATGGTGAAACCCTGTCTCTACTAAAAATACAAAAATAAGTTGGGTGTGGTGGTGCATGCCTGTAATCTCAGTTATTCAGGAGGCTGAGGCAGTAGAATCGCTTGAACCTGGGAGGCAGGGGTTGCAGTGAGCCGAGATCGCACCATTGCACTCCAGTCTAGGCAACAGGAGAGAAATTCCATCTCAAAAAAAAACCAACACCAAAACCAAAAACAAAAGGACAAACAAGGTATTACTTTCCTTTAAAATTGCCAACATGAAAATGTTATCATATTTAATGCTGGCATGAGTGTGGTGAGACAAGTGCTCTCATACACTGGTAGGGTGAGGGAATCAGGAAGGCCAGAGGAGCTGCTCAAGGGAGGAGGAGGAAGAGAAAGCAGAGAAAGAAGGGGCAAGGGGAGAGATGGAAAAAAGAGGGGAAGGGGAGAGAAGAGAGTAGCAACAGAGCAGCAAAGAAAAAGAAGGAGAAAGAAGGGGGACGCAGGGAGTAAGGAGACAGGACTGGGAGCTGGGAGGGAGGGAGGGGGGAGGGGTGCAGGCCCTTGTACCTGTGTTGATATTCACAGCAAAGGCATCCTCCTGGTCGGGCACCAGGAGATCAGTGTCATCCTTGGCCACAATGCCAACGATGTGGTACTCTAGCTTTGGGTTGAGGTCGCGGTCAATGGCTGTGACATTGGCAATGACAGTGCCTGGCTCGGCTGACTCCAGTACGCTCACTGTCTGGATGGGATTGAGGAACTCAGGGCGGGAGTCATTGATGTCCTCGATCAGGATGGTGATGATGGCTGTGCCCGAGAGAGGAACGGTGCCCCGGTCGGTGGCCACCACCGTTAGCCTGTAGGACTCCTGCTCCTCTCTGTCGATGGTGGCATTGCCAACACGGATGACCCCGGTGACCGGGTGAATGAAGAAGCGGTCCTGAGCCCCAGCTTCTATTCGGTAGACCAGCTCTCCATTGAGCCCACTGTCCTCATCTGTGGCTGTGACTTGAAGGACTGAGAATCCTGTTGGGGAGGGAACAGGGAGTAGCTGCACACAGTGGCCTCTTCCAGAAAGAGCTACCAAGACACATTTGTTGGTGATGTACAAGAGGCCCCTTCTCATGACAGCCTTGACAGCATTTTCTTTTATACCTTTTTCATACGTGTAATTTTATAGGAAAATGGAATATTATTTTATATTCTTGGATTAAACAATATTTTATAATGTAATAATTAGTTGTATCTTCTGCAAATGGTCTGCTTTTGTCTTTTGCCCATTTTTCTGTCAATTATACAAGTCATATAATTATGACAACTTGAGACATCTATCTATCTATCTACCTATCTATCTATCTATCTATCTATCTATATATATTTTTTTTGAGATGGATTCTCACGCTGTCACCTAGGCTGGAGTGCAGTGGTGTGATCTCGGCTTACTGCAACCTCCGCCTCCCAGGTTCAAGCAATTCTCATGCAGCAGACTCCTGAGTAGCTGGGATTACAGGCACCCATCACCATGCCTGGCTAATTTTTTGTATTTTTAGTAGAGACAGGGTTTTGCCATGTTGGTCAGGCTGGTCTGGAACTCCAGACCTCAAGTGATCCACCTGCCTCAGCCTTCCAAAGTTCTGGGATTACAGGCGTGAGCCACGTTGTCTGGACTGAGACAAGTATACTTTTCTGTTTGTTGTTTGCCTTTCAATATTGGCTATAACTATTTGATGTAACAAGGTTTAAATTAGCATGCATAGAAATTTAATATTTTTCCTTTTGAGTTCTTTTGTTTCTTCTATGCTTAGAACCTTCTTATCCAGAAATGTTATTCACCTAAATTTTCTTCATTTATTGTTTAGTGTTTTCTACTTTTTAATATTTTCTTTTGGTTTTTATTTTGGTATCTGATATGGGGGAGAATCTACACTAAATATTAGATTATTATTATGTTAGATTACATGCAGATTATAATAATTGGATCTAATTGATTAGATCAGATTAAATAGGTTTTTTGCACACTGAATAAGTAGCCTCCCCATTGGCTTCATTGCTTCCTTTATCACAACATATTTTATTCTTTAATTTACCAGTATCTGTTTCTGGGCTACTTCGTCCTGGAGTCTTGGGCCCATATTGCATGGCTTTAAATACTGTAGCTTTGTAATGTGTTATAAAATCTGGTAAGCCAAATCTGACTTATTATACTTATGTTTTTCAAAATTTTCTTATTCTTCCAGAAGTTACATTTTGATTTTGATGGGAATCATGTTGATCCTATTTTGACTTTAAAATAGTCAGTCTTTCCATTTGGGAATTCAGATGGAGAATACTTAAGAATCTTGTAGGCTGGCGTGGTGGCTCACGCCTGTAATCCCAGCACTTTTGGAGGCCGAGGCAGGTGGATCACCTGAGGTCAGGAGTTTACAACGAGCCTGACCAACAGGGTGAAACCCCATCTCTACTAAAAATACAAAAATTAGCTGGGTGTGGTGGTGGGCCCCTGTAATCCCAGCTACTCAGGTGGCTGATGCAGGGGAATCACTTGAACCTGGGAGGTGGAGGTTGCAGTGAGCCGAGATTGTGCCATTGCACTCCAGCCTGGGCAACAAGAGTGAAACTCCATCTCAAAAAATAAATAAATAAAGGAAGAAAGAAAAAAAGAATCTTGTTTTGCGGACAAGATATGGAAGCTCAGAGGAGAGAAGCAGGGGCCCAGGTCTCCTGACTCCCTCTCCAGTGTGCTCTCTACTCACCCTGCTGCCCATCTTTCTCCCCACTAGAGGCAAACTCCATGTCCAACCTGAGGCTCCAGTTCCCTGTAACCACCAACTGGCCCCTGGTTGTGGGGTACTGGGGCCTGTCCCCTGCTTACCAGGTGGGCAGTTCTCTAGCAGGTGGACAGTGAGGGTGGCAGGGCTAAAGGTGGGGCGGTTGTCATTGTCATCCAGGATGGTGACGAGCAGGTGGGCCGTGCTGTTGAGCAGCCCGATGTCCTCAGCCAGCAGCAGCAGCTCCAGGATGGGTGGCAAGAATGCCTCCCGGTCAATGATGACACCTGACCTCACGGTCACCACACCTGGCACCCGGTGCCGCCAGCCAGGGAAACACACAGAAAAGGGGTGCAGTGGGGAGATAGGGCAAGAACCAACAGGGAGAGAGCAGAGAAAGACAGGGGCACCATGGGGACAGAGATGAAAGTGGAGCAGAGGCAGTAACAAAATGACTTTCTTCCCCACAGGCTCAACCACCCGTGCTTAGGGAGGGCCCCATGCATCTCCTGTGGTTGTCCCCTCTACAGGTGCCCTCTGCTGTCTTCAAGACTCCTGCCTGGGAAGAGTGACCCAGGGCACAGGGTTGACCTTCTCTGTTGCTTTTCTGTTGGCACTTGTCACCAAAGCAGCCTCCTGTCCAGGACCAGACTGATGTGACATGGTCTGGTTGGAGGACGGGAAAGGTGCTCTGGCTACTTCTGCTGGACTAGGGGCCTGAGCCTCTGGCCTGCACATGGGGAGATGACGGGAGGGGGCTGGGGGGCTCCTGGTCTAGGCTGAGAGTTTGTGCACCAACAGGTCCTGTGTATCGTCTCCAAGCCTCTTCCCAGGTCCCCCTGCCAGGCCACTGGGTGATATAACCCAGCTGCAAGATGGGGACTCTGGGCTGTGAAAAATGGGGTCTCCATGGACAGCCTGGGTCCAGCACTGAGAACGGAGGCCCTCAATCCAGCAGTGGGGCCATCCCCACCCCAGAGTCAGGCTGGGAATGCTGGGTGGCAGAGAGGCCTCACCGGTGCTGCTGTTGATGTCAAAGAGGCCACTCTGGGCGCCCAGCAGTTGGTAGGTCACCACGGCGTAGATGTCTTCGTCTGCATCCAGGGCCAGGATGGGCCCATTGAGGACCGTGAGAGGGGTCCCTGGGCCAGAAGGGGAGGGGTCACCACAAGACCAACCCAGCCCCCTGCCCTCCCACCTCCCCTGCCCTGCCCCGGTGAGCCATGGCTGACGATGGATGAGAGGGGAGGGAGGTGAGGTGGACAGGGTGGGGAGGCCCTGGGGGCGGGCCTGCGGCAGCCTTGGCAGACTGAACGCAGATGCCTGGGGAGCGGCCTCAAAGCCCTGCTGGGGAGAAAACATGAGAGTGGTGAGCAAGGCCCCAGCTGCCCAGAACCACACCTGCCTTCCCAGCAGCCTTTGAGGCTGGCCGCTCCTCGGGAGGGTCTGGGGCTCTCTGACATCCCCTCCCCGTGTATGGGTCTCGCCTGTCCACACATGTGTGCACACAATGCTCTACCTTTGGGGGTCTGGCCATACATGACTAGAAAAATCCAAACATGTGTGCGTCAAGTTCTGTGTTCACGTGGCCACAGGCACTTGCCCAGAAGCACGCACAAGCCTGGGAATCCCTGGTTGTGCGCTCGTGTGCCTCTGCAGGTGGGCATGTCTGCATACGAGAGTATCGGTGGGCACCCATGTGCCTATGTGTGTCTGTGCACACGTGTAACCCCACGCACATGCCTTGGTATAGACACACACGGGCACATGTGTGAGCATACACACAGACAGGTTTGAGAATGAAATTCACCTAGGGGGGACGCCCAGCCAGAGATGAGCAGGGGCTGGGGAGACTGGAGGAGTGCAGGTGCCACCTCAGGGGACATCAAAGAGGAGATTTTGTCCCTCTGAAGGAAGGTGAGGCTGGTCAGTGCATGCGGGAGAGGGCTACACTGGCCTGCCTAGGACCCCCTGACCTCCCACTTCTGATTATAGACGCTCCCCAGGACTTCCAGAAGCCCCTGGGATGCCCAGCACTTCTGGGGTGGAGGGAGCAGTGAGGGGTGGGCCCACACCCCTCCTAGGTAGTCCTCACACCTGAAATGCCCTTCTTGAGGGATGGTGGGGTAGCTCTCAGACCACCCTGGGGAACAATGACCATGACTGTCTCTTCCAACCAGACCTGTAGTCTCTTTGGTGCTCGTGGGAGGCCCGGCAGCCCCAGCCCATCATCCCCTGGAGTTGAGACCATCCTTCCCCTCCCGCATCCACTAGGGCCTATGTTCAGCTACTCCATCAGGCTTAAGGGAGGTCCTCAGGCACCACAGGCCTCAGTGGTGCCTGGCAACAGCAGGAGCTCCCAGGCGGGCCCAGCACCTACCAGCGGGAGAGTTTTCCATCACCTCTGCCTGGTAGGTGCTTTTAGTGAAGAGGGGGTGGTTGTCATTCTCATCAGAAAGGAAGATCAGAAGCAAGTCATAATCCTGCAAGGGGCAGAATGGGGCAGGTTGTAGGCCATGCTCAGCAAAGTACCCCCCACCCAGGTGGGAGGGGGGTTGGGAGGTGGGGGATCAGGGCACAGAGGTGGATGATCAGAAAAGCCCACACCAACATGAACTCACATTTTTCAAAAGAAGACATACAAGGGGGCAAGAAACATGAAAAAATGCGGCCGGGCGCGGTGGCTCACACCTGTAATCCCAGCATTTTGGGAGGCCGAGGCGGGCAGATCACAGGGTCAGGAGATCAAGACCATCCTGGCTAACATGGTGAAACCCCGTCTCTACTGAAAATACAAAAAGTTAGCTGGGTGTGGTGGCGGGCGCCTGCAGTCTCAGCTACTCGGGAGACTGAGGCGGGAGAATGGCGTGAACCCAGG